CAGTTTAAAAAGGGGTTATGCGTGGGGCTATTTCTTAGCCGTATACAGTGACCCTCTCTGGTCTCCACTGGTTTCCTAACAGAAACAACTGACAGCCATTAGCTGAGCTTCACTGGCTTTAAATATGACATTTAGGTCTGAGAGCATTGCAAATCACTGATGGGAAATGATAAACTTTGGTGATTTGCGTGTGATGAATGAAAGGAACATTTTACTTTACCAGTTATTAAATCAAATTGTGTTTATTTCATCAAGTTATGTTAAAATTTTTCATGCTTTAGTCTATGTGCATTTTCATCATACAGTTTTTTAGGGCTCCCTCCACTGTCTTCAGCTGGTACAGAACGCTGCTGCTCGACTTGTTAGTGGGACAAGGAAATTTGAACACATCACTCCAGTGCTGGCGTCGCTATCATTGGCTCCCTGTCAAATTTCGATTTCATTTTTAAATTTTTACAGCTTTAAACGGACTTGCTCCCACACACATCTCAGATTTATTATCCTTGTATGTACCCCCACGACCTTTGAGATCCACAGATGTAGCCCTGCTGGTTTTTCCCAGGTCATGCTGTGACAAAAGGCAATCAGACTTTTGCCATTAAACCCCCCACACTGTGGAACTCACTGCCTAGTAAACTCAGACACACTACATCTCTTGGTTCTTTTAAATGTCCCCCTAAAACTTTTCTTTTCGTGCAAGCTTTTGAGAATATCTGATATATTTTTATTTGTAATGTTTTTATTCTAATTTATTTGTCCTTTCTCATTCCATTGTTTTATTACTTCATTGCTCATGTTCCTTATTTTTATTTTATCTGCCTTGCTTTGTTTTTATTTTCTTTTTCTTTTCCACCCACACTCATATTTTCATCTTTAACTTATACTTCCACTCCTGTTACAACCCTGATTGATCACGGGATGAAAGTTCAGAATGAGTTTAATCAGAAACAAAAATGTTTATCAGGAGAAATGAAATCCAACTGTGTTTATTAAGGCAGAATGAATAATATCCTCCTATTAACCCAAGAGTGGACCTGTAACGCCAACACTAAAGTTACTGCTTAGTTAAAATACAGTAAGTCTTCCAATAAATACATCTGACATTTAGATCATGTATTTATTCTGAGCAATTTCCACACTTTCTAAGCTGCGAATAGTACTGACAGTATTGCATGTGCATCCCACAACTACACACAGCTGATAACGCAGGGTTTTAAGGGCTGAATTTATCAAAAGATGTGCAAATAAGTCAAGCCGCATTACTTCTTTTTTGAATTTATTCACTTTTTCCCATTTTTTATATAAATATCATGAATCAATCTTTAATTATAACTTGTTTTGTCTGTCTATTGCCTGTAGCCCACATCAGTGTAATAACATTGAGCATAATGAATTGTGTTTATAACCCACAGCATTATAAAATAATGAGAAAAGCAGAGGAGAGGGAGGAAGGACATGGAGTGGCTGAGAGGGGGGGAATGAATGAAACAAAGCAGAAAAGGAGAAGAAAGCAAAGGAACAGTTAACAAAGAAAGGAGGGATGAGTGGACGAAGAAAGGATAAAAAATTACCAAGTGCATGTAGAGAGAAGAAGACAGAGGGAAAAAAGAAGAAAATGAACAAAATAACTGTGGTTGCTGATGTAAATCTCCCCCAGGTTAAAACAAGATGATAATTAAAAATGTACTGCAGGGTCACACTGACTGTGTGTACAGTGTGTGTACACGTGTGTGTCTTACTCTGCAGCCTTTACTGCTGTAGTTGGGTTTGTGTGTGTGTGTGCGTGTGTGTGTGGTGGGGGTGTCGGGGGTGAGATTGCTGTGCCCATTAAAAGGTGTCCCTGCTGCAATCAGTGTACAGAGGCCTTAGGGCCTATTTGTTGCTACATCAATCTGGAGTTAATGGAAACACACAAACACACAAACACACACTCGTGAACACATCCAAACACATTTTCCGCCTACAGTGCTAACATTGTCAGAGAGACCGCTGAACAGCAGGAGACACGCATGTATGCATGCACGTATGCACTTGAACACACACACAGCTGGCAAGGAAGCCAGACACAGCAGAATACAACACATACTGTTTAGTACACAATCAAATCAATCCATCACATTTTAAATGTCTTTCTTCATTTTTTTTTTTTATCAGACTTTATTCCCATCTAAAACAGGTTGGTGGCTTTTGTTCAAATTCCCAAGAAAAGCCGGATTTCCTGCTTTCAGTGCTAACTGACATTTTCAGGGATTGATGTAAATTGCCAATCCAAACATCCTATACTCTCAATCTGAAAATCACCCAGTGAAGATGAATCAGTGGAATGACTACGTTTGAAAATGTCATGTTTTTTTTCCTGCCAGCTCTCATCAGTAGATAAGGCAGCGCTGTAGCGAGTTGTGTGCGGCCTCTATAAATGTTTTAGCACAGAGTAAATTGGATTGAGTACATACAGTCACTGTTAATCGCTCACTAGATTAAAAAAAAAGAAACACAGCAGTACAGGAATGGGTAGAGTGCAGACTGATGGTGAGCAGCAGGCCAACAGAGTGGTCTGACAGAGGCAGCATCTTCATTCAACTGTCTCACCCAAGACACCAAATCCCCACCAGCTGCCGGGCTGCTGTTCTGTACAGGAAACTGACCTCTGACCTGCCTATTGACGGATACGATTTCCCTACAGGGTTCAGTGAAATCCCTATCAAGCCCACTGGCCCCAAAATACTTTTTTGTGCCAAGTGAGCAACTTTCACTGGAATGAATGGGGCACCATCTTGAAACACAATATCCAATGCTCTTAATATAAACATGCCCTTTATATTAAGGCATTTTGATGTAGCTTTGTAGCCTATGCACATCAGCTGCAGTCCAGCCAACCTGATTGTTCATATCACATGGTAAATGGGAGAAAGTAAGCACAGTTACTGCAGGGTTATAATGTACCAAGCACAATATGAGCTCATCACACACATTACATCCGTATTGGTTGTGCGAATCAGTGGGCGAAATCCGACGCTGAAGTATAAATCAAAACCTATGCTGACGTATCTATGGCAGGACCACCTGTTAACTACTTGCTATAGGTAAAATTTCAGCTTCAGTGTTCATTTATGCCTGAAGGTTGTACTAGAGCTGACCACCTGTGTTTTGAGAAAGCAGACACTGAAGTGTCCATAGTAGTGTCTCAATAGGGCACAGACATGATGTGCAATAAAGAAACACCACAGAAATGAGCACTTTGCACCAAAAATGGAGACCTCAAGGATTACCACTTTAACCTAAGAAAAAAGAAATAGAGAAGAGCTGTTGGTCCTTACCAGGCGTGATTTCTATCACTGTGTCTTGTCTCTCCGGGGGAAAAAGGACCTTGGGAGGCTGAGTGGTCTGGAGAGCTGAAGAGAGGGAGAGGGAGAGAGATACAAGGAGAAGGTTGATTATCAGAAGTGTGCATTTTAAACTGATGAGCTTTGGTTCGGTAGACAGATATCATTAAATCTTAAAAGACAAAAGTAAAGCAGAAAATTCACTTTCTAAATTAACATGCACACATTCATTCATATCAACTCAACTATTAATACGTATGACTGATCTGAGTAAAAAGGAATGAAGAGATGTCTTTATTCTTGAAAAGAAAATTTAGAACATGGGGTGTTTAATTTATTCACTGCAGCAATACTCTGTACACCAAAAAGGAGGTTTAATGTACTTCTGTCAACTGGATAAAAGCACCTGAACAAGATAGAGCTCTATCTGTCCTTGTACTACATGTTTGTAAAAAAAAAAAAAAAGCATAAAAAACAACATTAGGGTCAGAGAGTTGAAGAGTGACAAGTAAAAGTATGTAACAGGCAACATACAATAAGGGGGGTCTGAGATGTTGGTAAGCCCTAAAAACAGTTGCAATGTGGCTGTAGAGCACCACAGTACATTATTTTGTAAGGAAAGGCCCTGCAAGAGTGCTGACCTTTGCTCTACCAATTGATCACTGCTCTGCAGCATCACAAAGCCAAAAATAAAGAGAGTGAAGCTCACTGACCGTCACACCTGCTAGATGCTGCCTCAGCCGCAGATGCCACTCAGTGCACAGCTTGTCTCACCTCATGATTTCTTCCTGTCTCTTTGCAGACAAAACAGGTTGACTGACTGACCGCCTTTCAACTGTGATGACCAGCGGACACTCTCTGCTTCCACCTGAAGCACCTCTTAATTTCACCTCACTGGACTCTGAACACCAATGCTCTCTGCTGTCCGCCACCTTTTCCCCTCACCCACTCCAAGTGTCTAATAATCCTCTGAGTGTTCCCATTCTTCTCTGACACAACACAGTACAATTTGTTCTGTGTCAAAGATTGAGAAACTGATTTCTGGTGTCAACCAATTCCTCATGATCATCCAATGATCGTATTAATATACCGTTTTTGTAACAAGTAACACGTCATGGAAGCAGGAGTAAAGATGACTGTTATTCCAAGAACATCCAGTGCAATGCTGTACATTCCCTTAACCAATTTACTGACACGGTCAAAGAACAAAATTAATGAGAAATAAAAAAACAGCACAGGACTGAATTACACACCACTACTTAAATATTGGTCTTTGATTCCATTTCCATTTGTCCAGCACTAACAACCAAAGCTCAGTGTTCATATCAGAGTGTGTGGCAGTGCTTCCACGCCTAAAACACTAATAATTTGGGTTCCATTTCAATACTTTCACTACTAACCCTTGTCTATCAGGTCAGGAATGACAACTTTGTAGAAAGCTACTGGTTGTATGGCAACTAGTGGCACTTCATTTATTTAAGTGTACATTCAGTGCTAGTGCTGTCAGCTAAAGGTAGCAATTTTAGCGACGACTTTACAGTTTAACGTCTAAGTAATATGGAAAAGCCACCATGGAAAAAACACTGTATGGTTGAGGAGAAAAGGAAGGTTTCAGGAAAAATGGATCAACTCTTACTTTGTCGGACCTCAGGGAAAAGATAAAGAGATCTGCCTAATCTGCAAACAGTTGAATTCCTACTGTGACTTTTTCAAAGTGACATACAAATTCTACACAGACAGAGTTTTTATTTTATTTTGTAGCTTGTAATTTGTCAATCCCTCTATCATTCCATACCTCTCTTTGTTTCTCTGATAAGACTGATAGCTTAATTTGCATTCTGAAGGGACTGCTGCACCCTTGTGAGATTAATGAAATGACCCTTCACCTAGACCTACTCCTCTGGTCTGTCCTCTATTCCCTCTATACCTTTCCTTTCCTTTCAGCTTCCTCACTGTTTCCCACATGTATAGTAGTATATAGCTGTATATAGCCTTGAGTTGTATTAAACATTAAAAGTAAACAAAAGTAAATATTCATGGTGTTCATATGAATAGTAAAACCATATGCCAGGTGTGGAAATCTGTCATTTCCTTCATTTTCTCTCAGTCAAAGCTTATTTAGTTGGAAAATTCGTTTTTTCAGCTTTAATTTCACGAAAATAACGAAAAACAAAAACAAATTTCATGGCTTTAAGCTGGGTTAAAAGTCATTTTGGTTGGGTGCACACAGGTGTATTTGCCTGTATTTTGGGGACTCGTGAACTTGACTGCATCAAAGTGAGAAGGAGGCACAGTAGGAGCTGTGTCAGTAGTGATTAAGTAGTGGTGCAGTGCGTCTCTCCTACATGCACCCTTGTCTTCATCAAGTGACACACCTAACAGATCCTACTCAGAAGCCTGCATGTCTGTTTAGTGAATTGTATTTTTTTTATCAACAGAAAGTCTCTCAAGCTGAAAAGAACATTCTAATAAAACCATTAGCACTGTGCAGAGCATTATTTTGTATCATTCTGACCTTACTGGACACACAAACATCATATGCCATTTACTTACAAAAGCCAACTCTCTCTCAAGAAGGAAAATTGTGTGAGTGTTTGGGGTCTGTGTTAACCTGAATAAAAATCTGAATATCAAAAGGTGCGTGGTGAATAGATGATAATGATGGGGTGGCTGTTTTCTTTTGGCACAGAGCTTCACAGACACACACACACAGAAACATGCATTTGAGATCTTTCTACCTTTTATAATGCTTGCTTGTCTTGAAAATTACAGAATGCCATTGATGTGGAAATGTGAGTGAATGTGTGTGGAGAAAGTGCCATTAGGGTTAAAGGCATTTCAACCAACTGTGTGCTTATCTCCTTCTGCAATCATTACAGGGGATATCTTTCTGGCGTTTTTTAAGTGTGTCTGTGTGTCTGTGCATGTGTGTCATCTGATATGAACGTATGTGAGCGCCAGGAAGTTCAGAGCATTTGAAAGTCATTCGAGTAACTTTTCTGTGATTTAAAATCACTTTGACGCTATCTGAATCATCCTGATCTGATAATTTCAGTTTACCAGGTGCTCCGTGGAGATTAAAACAAACACTTTGTTATTGCACTCTTTATCTCCACGGATGGAATGAGCACAGTGTGTCAAACCAAATGTGATCTTTTTTTTCGTTTCCATTTTGAAATCTGATGACAGTAAGATTCACAACAAATAAAATGTTACTACTACAGTATAACAAGAGGACATTTGTTAACATTTAAACCATTATTCACAATTACATCGCCATTTTCTCAGCATGATGTTAATTATTCCTGCTCTTTGGCCTGTAATGTTTTGTACTGCAAATGGAATGACCTCAGAATTTTAAGTATAACTTAATTTTGACCTTTTTCTCCAATAAAACACTTTCTGTCTCAACTGACCTTTGACACATTTAGACCTTTTATTGTGTCCCAGGGGTAGAGTTTTCAAATCTCATTTGGAAGACATTTTGTAAAAGTATAAACTCATAAGCACTGTTGTACAAAGCTATGCAGTCAGACGAGAAGATGTACGTACTGTGGTTCTAGATGAATATTGTCACAACTGATTAATATGCTTGGGAATGAGAAACAAGAGTCAATTATGGTTCGGATTCACAAAAAGTCAGGTCTATGGTTTAAACATACATTGTAGAGTTTTCTTCAGTTTCTTGTGTTTTTCATAAATAAATTCATCTTTGAGATGTGTTTTAGCTAGCTGGCAGTTGCCAGGGAATACTTGAAAAGTTTGTGGAGTGACTCATGTAATTTGAAAAAATAGAAATTTCAATTTAATTTAAAAAATATATATCAACATATTGAGTCAACTTAAATACCTTAAATACAACAGGTGTTACATTTGGCAGTGCCTGAAAACTAGTTAGTACAAGTCTGGATAAGCTAAAATTTATAGATAAATGGTCAACATAACATATGAACTGTCAGAAATATTATCAAAAGAATCCTCTACAAATGGACCAATACTTGAAAAAAGTAGTTAAAATTGATAACTGGTTGAAACATATTGTCTAATTTAAATTCAATGAATTGATTGGTGGTGTTGAGTTACCTTATCACAGAACTGTGGTGAAAAAAGGAACCACTGTGTTACATTGTCATCTCTCAATCAGTGGAAGAGGGTAAAAAAACAAGATAAAGTTTTTGAGCGAGCAGACATTTTCAGCTTGGACTAAACTACACTGTCAGCCATCCTGTTCCCTAAAAAAACAACAGTGAAAAATGTGTACATTCTGTGCTGTTCAGTGTGCATATTTAGATGCTATATTCTGTATATCAAATTGATTTGACCTTTTGGGGAAATATGAAATGTCTGGCAGAGCAGAGAAGCGGGAGACATTAATGTTTAGTCCTGATACATTTAGACTTGTATGTCTTGGCCTATTCACAGTAACACCCATTTATTTCTGTCTGAATGCCATCTAATTTGATGTAATGTTTTTCACTCTGATAGCAAAATCCTGAGGGGAAAATAGGGAAATTGATGCACAGCAAAAAGCCAGATGCTTTTTCTTATTATAAACAACAGTGTGACATTAGGAAATACTGAGTGAAATGCTGCTGTTAAACAGATACATAATCAAGTGAATCTTATCAAAACAATAATTTGGTTACTGACTTTTCTCTCTGTATCCCTCACATCCTCTACCTTTTTTATTGTTGTTTTTAACTCCATTTTCCCTGCATTCAACTTGTTTTTTGTTCCTTTATAAAAATGGAGGAACCTTGAAAGCAACAGAGCGGAGTAAGCGGCACCGAAATATTTGACATTTTTATGCCTGTTTATGATCTTACAAGTAACTTCATCATAACTTCATTGTAACCCATCACATCTAGTTAGCTCTCTGTCACCACTGCTGCAATATTTACACTGTGTGTGCATAAGAATGTGGTTTTGTGTGGGCCTGTGCGTGTATTGGTATTTGAATCGCTCATGTCCTCTAAATGGACACAGAGTTAACATGTCATTAAAAATGAACACTTCCAGAGGAGTGTGTTTGTTTGTGCGTGTGTATGCTGAGTGGGTCTGTAAATGTG